CGGATGCCCTCTCCCGAATACCCCAGACCACAGATATTATTAACGCAATTCTTAGTACAGCTCCAGAGACAGACTGGCCCTCCCTACAAGCAGCAGATCCAGACTTACAGATTGTTTATCAAAGACAGCTACATGGAAATAGTAAGCCATCCATGAGGGAGCTTAAAGATCAATCCGTAACAACTCGTCGTATCTGCACCAAATGGGGTAACTTCAAGCTATATGGTGACACATTATTCCTAATGAATGAATCAAAACAACCCCTACTGATAGTACCGCGAGTGAAAGTTGAAAGTATTGTGGAACAGGTACACCGTGAACTTGGTCATACGGGAGAACGGAGAACTGAACACGCTGTCCGTCAACGCTTTTGGTGGCCTTCCATACACGAAGATGTAGCGCAGTTTTGCAAGAATTGTAACACGTGCTGCCGTTTTAAATCGCCTCAGCAGACACCCCGTGCACCAATGACGCCGATGGTAACGACAGGACCACACCAGCGAGTTGGTATAGACATCATGGGACCACTAACTACGACAAAAAACGGGAACCGCTACATACTGGTTATGGTGGATTATTTCACTAAATGGTGCGAAGCTGTACCCCTTCCACAGCAAGACGCCCTTACTGTTGCCCGAGCTTTCATCGATCACTGGGTCTCCCGTTATGGTGCCCCTGTCTCGCTCCACTCCGACCAAGGTCCATCCTTTGAAAGCCACCTCATTACTGAGATATGCCGGCTATTAGGAATCAAGAAGACACACACCACTGCCTATCACCCAGAAGGTAACGGCCTCGTAGAAAGAACAAACAGAACTATTAAAGCCATCTTGCAGTCGTTTGTCAGCAGATCGTCACCGGAGTTATGGGATGAGGTGCTTCCCCAATGCCTTTTAGCATATCGTACGTCGGTACATGGGTCCACGGGATTCTCGCCTGCTATTTTGCTGTTCGGGCACGAACTACGCCTACCAGTAGAGATACAGTCACCCCTGCTGCCCTACGAAGAACAAGAGCATGTTCCGTACATACGTACTCTTCGCAACCGACTAGCTGATGCCTACCGTCTGGTCAACATTAACTTAGGCAAGGCTAGTGGACACCAAAAAGATATATATGATCGTCAAGCACAAGGACCTAGGTATACGGTTGGAGATCGCGTCTGGTTACGCCGCCCAATGACGTCGCTAGGGGGTTGCAGTAAATTCCATCAACCCTGGCAAGGCCCCTTTGAAATTGTCCTCATCCGATCGCCCACCACGTTTGTATTGCGTAACATACAACGACCTAAAGACGATGTGATAACGGTGCACTACAACCAGATAAAACCCGATCGGACGACATTTCCCTTCGATGCTCAACTCGCTGATCCACCGCCGGCCACTAGATTTTACGAAGTACCATCTGAAGGAGGGACAGCATACCCGTGCCCAAGATCAGGCACTGAGGACAGTGCCTCATTAGGAGAGGGGGCGATGTAACGGGATTAAAATCATCATGTATGATGTTGTTAATAGATTTTGTTTTCTTTCTATTGCAGGGCAAGCAAGAATAAACGCTTTGGAAGAAGAAGAGCAAGCCCTGCACGCACTAAACTTACAGGATGATTCATAAGACCGTTTTGTAAACTAGCCCTCTTTCTGTACAGCCCCCGCGAATTTTAATTTTAAAAATAAACGTCCATTGTCCTCCATTCCTCGTTCTCTCTGTGGTGTAGAGTGTTCAGTTAACATTGTGTGTGTTGTGGCTTTAGGTCTTCCCATCTTCCAGTGGCTGCTGATTACACGTGTTACATACCACCTTTCGGTGTAAAGTTACAAAAGAGCCTAATCAGATACACCGTAGTTGTTGGCAATATTCAGAGGAAAGAATGTACATTGGATAAGTAACTTTCTCCATGACAGGAGACAGAGGGTAAGGGTTAATGGGGCTCTCTCCTCATGGGTACCTGTAAAAAGTGGGGTTCCCCAAGGTACAATTCTCTGTCCCCTTCTCTTTTTACTTTATGTAAATGAATTACCAACTATTAAAAAATCATACGTTCTTCTCTTCGCTGATGACATAAAAACTTGGAGACCCATACACAGTATATCGGATAGGATATTATTACAGGATGACCTTAGCTCATTAGTGGCATGGTTGGACAGGTGGTCACTACAAGTAAATCCTAATAAGAGTGTAGTAATGCAATTAAATAACTATGATGAATCGTATCATCATACAATATTTGGATTCGTGCTATTCAAAGTAAGAAACTATAAAGATTTAGGAGTCATATTAAGCAGTGATCTCAAAACCACTAGTCATTGCAAGGCTGCTGCTGCGAAAGACTATAGGGTATTATGGTCTATTCGTAGGTCTTTCCAGTATTTAGATGATGAAATGTTTAGATTATTATACCCGATTTATGTGCGATCACATTTAGAATATGGGATTCAAGCAACGAGTCCTTGTTTCAAGTATGAAGCAGAGATGCTGGAAAGAGTCCAACGACGAGGTACTAAGATGGTGCAAGGTCTATCTGGCCTGTCTTATGAAGACAGACTGAGACACCTTAACTTATTTCCGTTATCTTACCGTAGAGTACGGGGTGGTCTAATATTGGCTTATCGTATACTGAGCGATGGCCTTGGTATTAACACGTCTTATCTTTTACTTCCGTCTATGACTGATCATTTGAGAGGACATTCGAAGAAAGTTCAAAAACTGAGATCAAATCGTTTACGTTTGGAGCTTTGTTTCTCGCACCGAGTAGTGAATTACTGGAATTCCCTACCGGAACACGTAATATCAGCACCGTCTGTTAATATATTCAAAACGAGATTGGACCTCCACAGTATTACAAACTCCAAGGATTAATATAGGTCGACAGACCTCCTATCCTTATTACTGAAGACTGAAGACTGAAGACTGAACTTAATGTTTATTAACTGGACTGCTAACATCTAACTGGAGATCACTCAATCTTTATCGTCAATAGTATTTTGTTGTAATATTCGCTAAGGTTAGGGTTGAGTTATTACTAAGTCTAAGGTTTAGGTTAAGAATACAGTGCAGGTTTAGTATTGGAATTAGAATAACAAATGATATCGGCTAAAATTAAAAGTTTCGGTGTATAAAAACTGATCTTATATCCTAACCCTGATCTTTTACAGTTAAGGATGTATAATCAGCCTAATAATTTCAATAGTCAAGTGCGAGCAATATCATATAAACACCTATAACTAGTTTAAATAACTAATTTCCGAAGTTCTAGTAAGAATCCGTGACCAGTGGATTTCAACCGCGTCCAGCGTGAAGACGCTACCCACTGAAGACAATGACATATGGTCACATAATATCGTTGACCGGACATCATCAGCAACAGTCTACTGTGGAAGAGATTAAACTAACTTCTAGACGAGGAATAAATTAGGGAAAGACGCTAGAAGTGGGTGAGACATACATTTCGGAAGTCATGGAACTGCATCATGAGGCGAGTCCTAACTTGGAATCTTGAAGGAAAACGAACATGTGGAAGGGCAAAGGACACTCTGTGTCTGAAATTGGAAGCAAACATGAAAAATTGAGTAGAAGTTAGTGAAGGAGTGCCTAGGACAGATAGGGAATGCTGGCAGGTGGCCTCTGCTCCTCCATGATGGGTAACAGGCGTAAGTAAGTATAAGTAAAAATAGTCACAATTATTTTGCAATATTTTTCGCCAAACATTTTATATGAAGAAAGGTTTTTAGAGGGAATATTGTTTTACCAACTTGTTTCATAACTAGTTGTTATTCGACATTTTTTCACAACACTTCAATATATCTCAAGTAATGTCAAGTTTCGCCAGATAATATTAGTATTTTAAGTAAAAAGAGGAAATTTAAACAACAAAATGTAACCGCCCATTAGTAACATATCGCTACTTAGTGATCCACAGATTCAAATGTGGTGCATTTGAAGACTTTTAACAGTATGACTGTATTAATCTAACATCTACAGCGTATAAAAAGTGGAATAGGCCATAATGTTTACGGTTTCATCGACAATATTGTCCGAAAATGGAATTAAAGTCGCTTCTTAAGATAAATTAAAAACACATCATCAAACAGCGTACCACAAATCCTAAAAAAACATAATGACTTAGATAAGCAAACCAATAAATAATTATTTTTGTAGGAAAGTCGTAAAAGGTTTGAATATATCAGCGAGATCATAGCAGAATTATGTTATATTTGGTAAAGCTGAAACAAAATAGTGGTTGGAGGTGGTCGACAGAAAACTCTCAACCCTATTTCCGTGCTATTCGGCACCCGTCAGTAAGGTGTACCTGTACTGTGTCACCCGGCTTCACAATCAGAGACGATACCAACTTGGTCGTTAGGATTCGACCTACACTAACAAGGACTTGACACATATGATACTGATCACCACACAGTAATCAATCAATTGTAAATAAATCTCACTCCTACAGAAGGTCAGCCACGGCCTCGATAGCCCATTGGTAACGGCTCTGACTGTAAAGCTGACTGACACAGGATCGAACTCGTCAGGGTGCATCAGTTTCATCAAGATTACAAGTACATCTTACAAACGAGTGCTAAGTAGCAAGAAACCTAGGTCACCCAGAGTTTCGTGTTGACTACCTCCAACCATCATATCATCTCAACATAATGCACGAAATTTCGAGTCACCTAAACTAGTGACCACACTATAACTTGGTTGATCCTCACTAAGAAGGACCTGGCATACATAATATTGATCACCATCCAGTGATCAACCAATTGTGAGCAGAGTTATTATTATTGGTATTACTATCATTACTATATATATATATATATTGTAATGAAGTCAATAAAATCAACTTTTACAGATTCGCACATAAAGAATAAACGTTGATTACATAATTCCATTTACAAAAAACCAATGTAGAATAGAATAATGTATTGTATGCACATGTACCCACCTACAATTTGGATCAATATATATAACCATTTAAAAAAAAGGTAAGTAAATGTTAAAAACAATTAAAGTCGTGCATACTATAATCGTCACTACATCATCATCATCATCATCATCATCATCATTATCACCATCATCATCATAAGAGTAATTATGTCAAATAATAATGAATCAATCTATCAAATACGTTATAATACATTTATTAAACAATTAACAAATTATATTAATTTAACTAAATGGCCATTATTATGTAATTGTATTAATGAATTTATTGGTACAACAATATTTATTATATTTGGTTTAGGTGTTATGATTCAAACAAATATTCATTCAATAAATGATAAAAATATTGGACAATATTTATCTATATCAACGGGTTGGGGTATAGCTAAAATTATTGGTTTATTAATATCAACTAATAGTTGTGGTGGTGGTGGTGGTGGTGGTGGTGGTGGTGGTGGTGGTGGTGGTGGTGATAGTGATGGTAACGATCATGATAGTAGTAACCATGGTAATCAATCAGGTTTATTAAATCCATCGATTACATTTGCATATTGTTTAATTGGTAAATTATCATTTCGTTATCTTATCCCATATAGTATAGTACAATTATTAGGATCAATATTTGGTACATTTATTATTATTTGTATTTATTGGGAAAATATACAATTATATGCTAAATTATATTCATATGGTAAATTAGAAATGAATTATACTGGTTCATTATTAGTCAATATACCTAATGTATCTCATCAATTATGTTTATTAGATTATATTATATCCAATACAATCTATTCATGGATTATATTAATCATTAATAATAATCATAATTTATCATATGAATTCCAATTAATTTATATTGGATTATTATTCACTGGTATTATTGGATCATTATCATTAAATATTGGTATTGGATTAAATCCAGCTAGTGATTTAGGTGCAAGAATAACAATATCATTATGTGGTAAATGATTGATTATATAATATGTATATATTTCTTTTACTATACAAATATATATGTTTCTATGGTGAGATGATCTTTGTATGTGACGTTGAAATGATCTTGAGGATATCCATTTGGAAACTAGGACTGTATAATGATTATAAATCAGTTTGTTGAAGAATAAGGATTCTGATTTATAATAGATGATTAGGATAATTTAGCCAAGTGGATCAATCCAAGAGATGTTATTTTATATCTGTTTAGTACTTTCATACATTTTAGTCTTGTTAGGTGAGACTATAATTTACGGACGACATTTAAGTGATGCTAAAACGACATTGAGGATATTCATATACTAACTAAGATTAGATAATGATTATAACCCAGTTTGAGAAATTAGAATAATGATGATTAAGGTTAAGGATTAGATTCAGGGTCTTCATCACGAGTTGAAATCAGCTATAATGCTAAAATGATATTTAACCAAGTGGATGAATGAATTTTATGCCAAAATCGAAGATCTGTTATTTTATATCTGACTGATTCGTCCATAAATTACAGTCTTGCCATTTATTTTATAGTTAAGAGTGAAATCCAGGATGTGTATTACGTAATATTTGAAATTTGTCAATTGGATGATCTTACATCCGAGTGTTGCTATTCACAATGAGATTGGAACTCAATGTGTTAAGCTTCAAACTTTGATGTTGTTCATGCCCTGAAACTGATCAAATGTAGTTTTAAATATTATACTTATTATGCAAATTAGTTGCTATTTGGATTCAGTAGTTTAATGAATAAAGCGTTCGGTATTTGATAGAAAAAGCATTGGACTCTAGTTTTGATGTAAACATTAACACTGGATTGTTAGTATATCCGTCTGAAGATTCCTCAATATAACGAAAAGAGAGCTCAAATAAACCGAAGCATCTAAATGAGTTTCATCTGTTAGATAATATTAATTACGTTGTGTAAAGTTTACTAATGATGGCTAGAAGTGTAGTATGAGTGGGGATATTATCGAAATGAACTATATCACATCTTCAATTAAAATATGAAAGCAATTAGATTGATATTGTTATTTTCATGTTAACTGTATACTCGACATATCCAATATAGCTTAAACTCTTCGGGTCTATTTGTCAGAATTGTTGGTTAGTTAGTGATATTTCAGTATCATTAATTTTTTAATTAAAGTCCTCGGTGCTTGGATATAGTAGACAAGAAACCCTGGTTGACATAGATTTTGCACCAGCTGGTGCTCGTTAGTATGGTGTGCTTCCAACCTTAGAGGGACTGTAGTTTCTTGTATGATTCATGCCCACCTTACTCAATTTCAAAGTCTAAGATATTACCACTGAACTATTTGGATTCTAACTGAATTCCTACAAGACTAAGGTGTATTTACAACTGATGTCATTTTAAGCAAAGATGGATAGTGGCTATCAGTGCAATCCACGACGCGCGTTTCGTCCTGTTGAAAAGATACAAGTAATACAACACCAAGTGAATTTAAACTTCACCCCACTGCATAAGCAGGTGGGTGTCAGCACTCAATAGCTAAGTAGATAACCGATGGTGTTTAAAGCGAAAGGTACTTGGTTCAAAACCCACAGTGGACATCAACTCTGAGATGCAGGTACATCCAGCTGACGAGTCCTAAAGAGGACAAAACGCGCGTCAAACCAGATTCCACTGCTAGCCACTATCGATCTTTACTTAAAAATCCTGTGACTTAAGACTATATCGAGGTAATTAGCTCAGGATGCACATATGCCAACAAGAGATTGATCAATTATAGTCCTAAATAACAATGGGAAGATACAAGTAAAACAACACCACATTTTATTTTATATTTACTAATCAATTTAGTTTGAATTTGATTTGTTATGGTTTTTCCCCAGATTCATTAACACCTTTCTTGTCTTTCTGTTGTTTTTCTTTCTTCTTTGCTTCAATTTCATTGCCATGGTAACTCATCCTCGCCCCCCCCCACGAAAAAAGGTTGGGGTATTCAAGCATTCAAAGCAAATAATTATTATTTTTGGTTACCATTAATTGGACCATATATAGGAGCAATAATTGGTTCATTATTTTATGGATTTATTATTAGTTTACATATAATACCATCATCTGATATTGATCAATATAAAATACAAAATAATCAATGTACAATAATTAATTCAACTAGTAACTATTTACAAAGTAGTTTCATTGAAGAAATGAATGAAGATTTATTTAATATAACAGAAATTGATGATTGTTTTATAGATAGTGAAGAGACCATAGATTAAATAACCATTCACGACTATCTTTGTATTACATAATCATCATCACCATCATCATCATCCTCATCATAATCACCATGGTGATATTTGAAAATATCTCCTTTTTTTTAATCATCCAGTCAATTTCATCAATATAACTTCATATATGATGGAAATAATCTTGTAGGATTTTCAAATAATAAAAGTTGCCTAATTGGAAATCTTTCTTTTTCTTATATTTGAATAAACTGATATTGAAATGATTTCAGTCTGTAGAATAATATTTATGAAATAATGAGAAACTAATGCAGTCATCAGTAATAAGGATAGTAGGTTGATGAACCTGTGTTAATCCTGACTGATTGCCTTCCGGTGAAGGTTCAGTTCCTCCTTAAGAAAACCTGGAAACACTGGGCGATTGTTTTGTCCTAGTATAGGACTTATCAGTGGTGGTGCGCATTCAGGATCCAGCGAACTCTTAACCTCTAAATCACTGAGCTGCCTGACATCCAATAGTGTTAATGTCTGACTTCAACCAATCCACGAAATTGCGCGACCATCTTTAATTATCAGAGGTAGATATCTGTCTCTGCCTAACACGGATTAGCTCCCCCAGTCATGGCTTCTCAATAGAACTCGGAGAATTACATCACAAAGCTAATCACTAGTGACCACATGGTAATTATCAGTGTAGGACGAAACGACCGTTCAGTGCTTCCAGGTTTTCAATGGTGGTCTAACATTCATCGATCCATGATCTCAATCAAAAACTTAATAATCTCCACAACCCTACACTGATAATTGATTGAATGTCCTTGCGGAGAGAGAAGGGAACTATCCTACTAATAGCCTATAATCTGAGTGGTTGGTAAGCAGGGAGGAAAAAGACGACTTGGCAGAAAGACTTTCCTATTTATTCGTGATGCGTACTAAGTCTAAAACGCATATGAATAAATATATGACTAGTGAGGCTGGCCAAAGAACATGTTACGTCGCGAAATAGAAGCATATATGGAAAGGATGAATAACAACTGGAAAGAGCCGGAAAGAATTGCCCAGGACAAGGTTTGGATGGAGAGTGATGATGGTTGACCTATGCTACACCAAGAGGAGTAACAGACGTAAGTAAGTATGTAAGTAGTGAGGCTGGGAAAGATACAATTTTGACGGAGTTTTGTCCTCTGAGATGAATGGCTTGATCGTGGGGCTTTCATCGCTCTTCTGAGCGACATCATCAGCACATCAGACAAGGCGGAGGCCCTCTTCATCTTCGCCTACATGAACATCAATTAGATGTCAAACGCCATGACATATCCTCACTTATATCAATTCATATGGTCACCTGTGGACACACATTCAACTGGAAAAATGTTGAGATCTAGGATAGAGGTAATCAACATTGAGTTCTACAGGACAAGCTGTGAGTCATTTCTACCTGAAGTTTGTGCAGATAATGTCGTTCAGAAGAACGTTGAAAACTTCACGACTAAACCATCCAGGTCAATGAACAAAATTTCATCGAAATCACCCACCTGAGCTATAAATCTTCTCCACCATCTCAAAGATACAATTATTTTTCAATTAGGAAATAAGAGTAAAACAATGAAATACAAAGATCACGTCCAACTTACAATAGTTTTTTTAATATAAACGGATATGATAGTAATTTATGAATTAAATAAAAGCTTGTGATACATAGAATAAAATTGAAATTCGCTGTTTGTCACCACATATCTACTTCTTTCCTCACATTAATTCCTAACTAAACAGTTGGATTAGGCTTCTGGTATGTTTTATACAGAATTCGCTATGCAAGATGTGTATCTACAGTTGATTGATCACTGGGTGATGATCAATGTCATGTATGTCAGAACCTTCTTAGTGAAGATCAAATTCTATCGACCAAGTTTAAATGTGTTCACTAGTCTGGATAACTCGACATTGAGTGCACTATGTTGAGATAAGATAGTGGTTGGAGGTAGTCAACATAAAACCCTGAACTTAGGTTTTGTACTTCTTAGAACTCATCAGTAATATGTACCTGTAATCTTGATGGAACTGATGTTCCCTACTGAATTGGGTTGCGTGTCACCCAGCTTCACAGTCAGAGACGTTAACACTGGGCTATCCGGGCCGTGACTGACCTTCTGTAAGACTGAGAGGTATTTACAATTGATTGGTCAGTGAGTGGTGATTAATTTCAGGTCCTTCTTAGTTCGGATCGAATCCTATCGACCACATATGTAAGCGTTCAATGAAGCGAGTAAACTGATATCTTGTACAAACTAATTGGTAATTCTTTTCGATTGGGTTATAGTAACGTTTGTTCGGTGATAATATCTTAATAACGGAACCAATCAATATTTATTTCAATCACTTTGATATTACCGAAATCAGAAGAACAACTTACCGTACAATAGATATCAATAGTTACCATCAATTTTGTCACACACATTGTATGAACATTCCATGTACCTAAATTAATGGTTACTCTGGGCATCAGCTCCGTAACTTCCGAAGAAACTGGACTTTCACCATGAGGCGTCATAACTCTTTCAAATGAAGACCTTCGAACTCCCAGGGCAAAGTTTATATGGTTTGAATTATTGTTTCTGGTTAGCGTTTTTTTAGCGGGTTAGTTTTCTACGAGATGAGGTCGCCCAATCCTACTCCTTCATCCGGGCTTGGGATCGGCAGTAGCCACAGAGGGGCTCTAGGCGGAGTTGAGGAAAGAATCCAACTGCGTTATAAGGCAACCTCCCACTTAGAATCCCCAAAGTGCAATGAGAAGAGGAGAACCAAATAACACATTACTTCGAGAAAGGGAGACAGACATGAGAAGAATAACAGTTGGATGGAACTAGAAAGGAAGGCTTAGGACAGAATGGGTTGGAGAAGGTTGGTCGACGGCCTGTACTTCATTGGAAGTAAAAGGCGTAAGTAAGTAATGATACGAAACTAAGTAGTAGGTCCATAATCAATTAATGACAATTTAGAGATGGTTGAATGTTTAACAGCAACTATGGCTTACGATTAGGTAAACACAAATACTATAACCTTATTGCTTAATAATTACTGTCTCCGATCTACTACCAGTCTCCACTAATATATTCAACTAAGCTAAATCTGAACAATTACACAATGAAATAATTGCTATGGTGATTTGATATTCTAATTACGTAACTAATCAAATAGACCAACCAGTTAGATATGAATATAAAATCAGAGAAATACAATAATGCAGTGATCTATTCGAAGCCAACACTTGTCTATGCTCACTTCTAATCATCATTAACGATCAGGAATCCATTTTGCTTAAATTATTCAATCTAAGTAACAATTGCATAACAAATAATACTGTAGTGAAATGTCTACGTGTGTGTGTGTGCGTGTGGGCCAATATCTTGAAAATAATGCGTCATCAAGCCAATATAATATGGTATGTAGTTGTTGTAGACATTATTTAAACAAGGGGTAATGTTTACATAATATAAAATTTATTGACAAGGTTGTAATACACAGGTAGATACATATAGAGAGGTTTGTGTTTTCAAGTTTTTGTGTGAATAAGGTTTCTTATCAGTATAGGGTTGTGGAGATTATTAAGTTTTTAATTGAGATCATGAACTGATTGATGTTAAACCACCGTTGAAGATCTGGAAGCACTGGACGGTTGTTTCTTCGTATGATGGGACTCCTCAGTAGTATGTATACACGATCCTGCTCGCGGGATCTGATGTTGGTCTAACACCAATCGGTTCATAATCTCAATCAAAAGCTTAATAATCTTCACAACCCCTATACTGATAATTACCATGTGCTCACTAATGACTAGCATCGTGAGGGAATTCTCGGAGTTCTAGTGAGAAGTGGTGATCAGTGGAGCTAATCGGTGTCGGGTAGAGACCGGTATCTACCTTAGTACAATGAAAGATGGTCGCGCAATTTTGAGAATAAGTTTTCGTTTGAGATTATAACTATTTATTCCAAGTGGATACTTTTGTTATTTGATTATTTTCTCTTGAATATAATGAATGTGAAGAATATGACATTTCGTAAATAAATATCTGAGTTGTCAAGGTTAAAATACGGAAAGTCGTTCAAGAATACCTAAAAAACGGTCAACGAGAATCGAAAGGCAGTGGTGGTGGGGGTGACAATTTTGATCTTATTTTGCAGTCGATTATCATTCATTTCGGCCTAAATACTAAACATGACTCAGGTTCAGTAGAATTTCTTTATTATTCACTAGTAAAGCTTTCAGAACAGTCGTTCGACAAATCAATGTCGTTGTATAGTTTTATCATTCAGCTTTAAAGTTACATTGGTGGCTTTCTTTTTAATTGTGTTTTTTTTCACCACTTTTTAAATATCCTGTTTCCGCTTAAGCAAAATTGAAACTAGAAGAAACTTTTACACTGTCCAAACAGTATACTCGAATTAGCTTTTAGTGGCCCGTATAATCTGACTCCGTTAAGATTGTTTCTAATTGCTGTTCAGATATACATATCGTCATTCCTCGTATATAATTATCGACTTAGATCACGTTAGTAAATAACGGAATTAGATAAGTCAAATATGAGAGTGGATGTTTGAATACATATATTTTCTGCAATCATTGATCAGAACAGATAATCAGAGAGATGTAGCAAAGGAAGCGAGGAAGAGAGGGCGAAACGAAACGACGCGCGTTGGAGAAGGTTTGTGAGTCAACTCTATTCAGTCAAGTGTTAATCAATATTTATAGTCACACAAAAATAGGTTACAAACATATAACGAATGGGATAAGAAGGGGACACATACGCTCATATAGAGACAGTCGAGGTTGATAAGTGGATAATTAACAAGGTCAAAACGTGACTCAAGAAGAATGAATAGATTGACCTGTCCAGAAGCTAGAATAGGTATATGGGCTTAACATTGTGACCGACACTACAAGCTCGTTTGATAAATCTAACATTTCATTTACTTTTGTGGTATGTGCCACTGATATTGACAGAAATAAGTAGTATGTACCATCAATCGAAAGTGAAATACCTGGCAGCAGCAAGGTTAAGAAGATAAAAAAACGAAAACACAGAATGATTGATGTGAAAATGAAGAAACAGTCAAGTCTGATACAATTGATTGACATTTTGCAAATGAATTATTACTCTTTGGTTATACTAAGAGATTTTGTAATTTCGTGTTCAAATACATTTGGTTGTTTCTAACTAGTGTT